AAAAGAACAACCATAATTAAGAAAAAAACAACGATTGTAGTTTAAAAAACGAAAAAAACAAAAGAAACAGCTAAGACCGACGTTTTTTCGGTTGCCTCCTATGGATTTCATTGGAGATCTCTCGCTTGATGGTCCCGCAGTATTCTGCGAGCATTTAGGTGTTCCATCGATCTTGGTAACGTTTTTGTATCCACAAAATGCCCAGATGGAAGCGTTCTCTATGTCCGTCACTCACGTCGTCATAATTTTTGGGGAAAAAATCAAGATGCGAATACATAAAATGCACTTTTAAGAATGTGTTAATTTTAAATTTTTTATATGATGATAACATGTTTTCTACTTACTAAACGTAGTTTTCTTATTGTTTCCCAAGAAGTTTGTAGTAATTTGATCACAAAAAAATACACATTATAGAAAGTTTCCTATTACTTAATAGTACGATTTTTGTATTTTTCAAAGGATAATATTGAAGATTACTTTTAAATGAGAGCTAAGTTTGGGTTTAGCCGTTTATAATATGATTTAAAATTGTTAATTAAATAATAATTGGCTGCTATAACAAAAGTTAGAGCTTAGCTGTTGACCAGTGTGACCTGTTTGAGTCCTTGGAATCTTATTTTTTTAAGTTCACGGGAACATATCTGATGTTCAACGCCTGCAAGCTCTTGGGGATTTGTAATGAGAACTTAACGAGATTATTTAATAAAACTGACGTAATTAAGAGTCTCTTCTTTGCTTATGTAATTACTAATTATTAGTAAGCTAGAATATGCCTCCTTAATTTGGTTTCCAATATATTATTATAGAGAGATCAATAAAAAATACGATCAAAGACAGTTCGTCTTTGATCGTTGCATTTTCAACTCAAATTTTCAAGTTGAGAGCAATCTGATAAGACGAAAATTCTACCACGAACAAATTTTCAAAAATCCATGACTGCTTTTGATCGTGATTTTTTATTGATCTTTCGGTACAGCGTTTACAAGGTTACAAAATTATAAAGAAATGTAGACGGCTTTTGTGGTTTTTCAGGCTTTTGTCAAGCTTAACTAAATTGAAATGTTTTATGTCTATTCTGTGATCATTCTGAAAAATATGTTGATCGTTAGTGTCATTCAGTGTCAGTTTCACTTTTCCAAATGTCGCAATACCACAAACCTTAAGTCTATTGAGAAGAATTGCTGGTCCAAAACACTTTAAACCAACGAATTATTGAAGAATATATTCAATTAAAAAATCTCGGTATGAAACAGAAGCTTTTTCATTTCAACGGGCAATTTTTTCCATTGTCGCTTTTCATGCCTAACCTTTTCATGAGTCGGTCAGCGATTTATGGTATTAGCTGTAAAGATTGTAATCAAAAATATATTGGACAAAGAAAGATGTCAATTATCACGAGATTCAAAAAACTCATGGCTCGCCTCATATTAGGAAGTTTTGAAAAATCAAGTATTATTCAACATATTTTTGAGAATGAGAGTGGACGTAAACTGTTTTAAATTAGTTAAACTGTCAATAACTCTAAATTTCTAGACATTCACGAAAATCTAGAAATATTAAAACAAAAATCGTATGGAGTCCATCTAGAATTCGTTCGTCTACGCACTTGTGGAGTTAGGGAGGGGGAAGAGTGGGGGTAACTATTATTTATAAACTCGTAGTTGTATTCTGCTTTCGCGATTTATCACCATTTTGGCGATATGGCAGCAAAGATTGGCGTTATTTTTTCTAAGTTGATCACATCTGGCGATTTTGACGATTCTGCAGAGGGATTCTGTGACCAGGTTTTCATCGAAACTCAGTAAATCTTTTTCTGAAGTTACTAAATGAACTCACATCTAGAAACTTCCTGTTTTTGACGCATGGTCGCGGCCATTGGACCGCTAGATTTTGACACACACTTAAAAATTTTAATTTTTTTTTTCAAATTAGGACAGTAGGTTCAAATTGCCATTACGATTTATGACATTTAAACAAATTCAGAACTAAAACTTTATATGTCAAAGTGGTCTACTTTCCAATGGCCGCGACAGTATCATTTTTTTTTTATTTAGGTTAATTGTGTTTATTTATTGTCTCATTCTCCATTTGTGGTTTCATTTTTCAAATTATTCATTTGACTTATGGTTCATTATTGATCTTTGTGCTTCTATTGACACTTTGTTTTATTAAAATAAGTATTCAAGAAAGAAATAAGTACGAAATATCTGTGATTTTTTTCTCAGATTGGCAACATATTTAAAATTTTATGATGGCATACTTAATTGTCAAAATGACATTTATGACAGCAAGTCAGTAGCTGCCATCATTTCAATCAATCAACACGTTTGTTAGGCATGCTCATATCAAAATTAACAACTGTGAAGTGACATACTAGCAGGGCTGACAATAATTCAGAATTGCCAATACACAAATGTGCCTTAATCGTTCATGGTCATCCGGTTTTTTCTTTAAATTACTACAATCTAGGGGCGTTTTAAATTTTGAGTTGGGGACCACAGAGATCTAAAATCTTTTGACTAAACTGGTACACAAAAGAATTGACTGTCCTAGCCTTTTATTTATAATTCACTATAATGTTTCCAGGTAGTGACCTCAATTGTAATGAATTTTTCATTGGTTGTCACACCGAGGAGTGGAACGTTTTTCCAAAATCCATATTTACGTACAAAAATTTACCATTTCAAACATTTTTCAAGTTTCTTATTATGAAAACAAGACTACGTATATTAAGAAAAAAAATGTAAATGTGAGCCCCGCCCACACGCCCAATCTCAATTGTAATGGTTTTGGAGTTTTAACTCTTTTCTTTTCGTATTATAAAACACGCATATGACGCGCACCCGAAATAGGATGTGTAGTTCGAGTTCGACACCGACACTAACACCGACAGTCTGAACTGAGTCTGAACATAGGCATGTAACGCCGCGCTGTATTTTTATACAATATTATTATAATAATTAGATATTTCTATATGATAAATAAATAAAAAAGGTATATTTTATAATAAACAACAATTGACAATACGTGGATATTTACATGAATTAATCCAATTATCATCATTAATCATCATTTTGTCAAAAAATACAAATGCAACATATTTTTGGTTGTTATTATTTTTTACGAGAAAATTAATGACTTCGCCGCGTATACGTTTTTAATTCATATAAATTAACAACGCAGAGTTAAAACTCCATCCGTGCGTCCCTGGGTCGACGCACTCTTTTTTTTATATTTCGTGAGCCGGATTGCCACGTGAAACATATTCTTAAGTAATCGTGTTGTTCAAAGAAAACTTGTGTGTATTAAATAAAAAAGAAAGCCAAAGATTAAGCCCCACCTATAATCGAATTTAATAAATGACATACCCTCTAAGAAAAGAGAGGGTGGGGGGCGGGGCTAGCAACTGCTCAGATAAGACCGAGTTTTGCAAATAACGTATCCTGTGAGAAATTTAATTAAATTATTATAAGAAAACACAATAGAGGCTCCAAAGCTTTTTCAAATTCTTTCCAAACAGGAATACCTAGAACCTCCAGATTGTTTTATGTCAACAAAAAACTGGGTCCCAGAATTAACACAAAAACAGGTCAGGTCAGAATTTTCCAAAAATAAAACACCAAAGTCCCCCGAAATTGTTTTAAATAATTTACAAAAAAATCTCCATGAGCTCCCAAAATAATAATAATAATTTTGATGTTTTGATGTATGGTCTCTCAACAAGAATTTTATTGTTTTCCATTTTATACTTGTAACCCATCTTTTTTAATATTTTGTATAATAAACAGCGAGAACTTATATACTTTAAATTTTGTTTAGGAAATCTTAGTAACTAATATGTCTAAATTGAAATATTCCCCTGACCGTTTACATTCCTGAATTTTTCAACTCAGTTCTGCGCAAAAATAATAATTGTCATAAAATTCGGATTTTTTCTTAACACCATGGGTTTTTGAAGAAACTAGCTCGTGGATATTGACAGAAGCTTGCAAAATACTGCGAACAATTTTTCTCGATATTTAAAATAATGTTTATTGAACATTTTGAACCAAAAATTATCTGAAAGAGCACATCAAAAATTTTTCACAGTTTTTCTTCCAACTGTCGATTAGTCAATTGTGGAGCTAAACTTCTTAATTCATCACAATATTTAGCAAGGGCTAAATTCAGTTTGCGGTCTAATAAATTTCTTGTTTTGCGTGGCATGATGGTTTCAGTTTGACAATTTGCGGAAAAATTGTCCCAGATTTTAAAAATAATCATTGCCAATTGGATCAACAAAAATTACTAACTCGTAGGGTTTTTTGTTATGGCAACTGCAATCAACAAGTGGTGGATTTAAAAAAAAAGAGAAGTACCTGTTGTCACTATATGTGCTGACAAACACATCGGTGATATATTTTGTTAATTTTATGCTTGGATATTTATCTAATTTTAACTTTATTGTGCATTAAATATAACATATTAGATTGTCCTGTTTTTATGGTCTTCCTGTTCAAACAAACAGTTATTATTATGTGCATTTTATCTCGAGAATTAATTTTATATGGATAAATAACTGCAGTGATCTCTTCCGATTCATTTTAGGTTTCCATGCTACAGAATCATTAAAGTCTTTTATTAAATGGTATTATGAGTTAGTAACACCTTCTCAGTCAGTGCGACTCGCTAAATTTATCTTATCTCCAAAGTAATTGTAACTGTTCTGAATACACATTAGTACTCACGCTGCAAAAGTCACTTTTCTTGTTTTTCTTCGCGAGTTTTTTTAGTAAACGAAAAAATGCAATAGTAATTTATCACTTGCTATTATAAGCATACTAATTGCAGCTGAAACCTGTTCCGGTTTATGATCGTCATTCAAGCTGTTAACAGTTCGAAAAAAATCGCCACTTCATTGTACTGCCAGCAAATGGCTTCGTCAAGCGAATAAAAAAAATGCAATAAAGTCCCTTCCTGAGACTATTGAAACCCAAACCGTGCACCGTCATGAGTTCCTTTGGTCGGGTCGAGCAGACCGCAGCAACCCACGTAACACCGCACACGCTGAAGACCTGTGCCTCCGAATCGCGAAAGAAGAATACAAGAAGTTCAGTTAGATTTTTTCTCCCGCGGTAATAATTGTGAACTATTGAACGGTACGCGTTTTAGTGCTGGTGAAAAACCGTCGGCAGCATGAACGGCATGAACGTTGTTAATGTGGAAGACAAAAGCAGAAAGGATAGCATTAAAAGGCAAAGGTGAGTGGTACCCAGTGAACGAATTATTCACGATCGTTGACATAACAGGAATTGTGTTTTTGTTATTTTTTCGATATCGGCCAGGTTAGAATTTTATTGGCTGGATTTTCCTGTTTTGTATCGGTTTTTGATGATACCGTGGTCAGGTTAAAAGGATATGACATAATATCAAGACGCGGTACTCTCATGCCGTGGTACCTCCCACCATGGGCGAAAATCATCAACACAAAAGTGCAATCTGCAGCCGCAGCTGCTCCAGTACAAGCCATTATGTTCCATTAAAAAAAATACGTATTTTTAGGTACCATTTTATTTTTATTTAAATTGACCTAAACTCTCGTTTTGTTAGACTTAGGCGGTACACAATTTTGTTTTAAAATACATCATCGTAGGTCAAGTTTGGATGCTGTTGTGTAGGAAATGAAAGTAAAACATCATCACAATTACTTTTTACGGTCCATCGGTTTGATAAATGTTGACAGTTAACAAAGATTGGTTTTTGCCTTAGAATAAATTTTCTGCCGTGTTTATTAAGCCAATCTGTAGTGAAAAATATTTTCAAGTAGAAATTATTTTCTATGAGAATTGAAATTTGTTATTGCCTTGAAGGGATTCCTGTCTTTGTCTCTTTTTCTCTCTGCTCCTGATCGCTGATCGGACGAAGATATTTTCTCTTTCTACATAAATTATTAATATTGTACTACTGTCATACCATCATTCATTCGCATCAAGATTTTTATGTATGTACTTCAAAGACGAGAAGCATTAACCGTGCTTCCTTGAAGTTATTCAACTGCCTCAACAATAACGAGAAGTTCTCACAGGTTAATGTTCTTTATTTTTTATGTTTTTTCAGATCTCGTGTTACAGTTTGTTTAATTATAAAATTCTAAAGAGGATTAAATTTGTTTGTGGTTAAGTATGTTAAGTGTTATTAAAATACTACTTAAAATTTTATTGGATGTTCAGTATTTTCAACACAAATATTAAAATATCAAAAAAACAAAAAAGTATTTAATATGCAATCTGGAACTAAAAAAAATCATTCTATATCATTTAATAATAACAATAACTGAACTTTTTGTCTCCACTTGTATTAATTTGTAGAACTAAGTTTTTCTTTCTTGGTAATGATATGATTATAATATTTACCTGAAAGTGTATATTAATTATTTTTTTATATCTCCATTGTAAAGTGAATATATGCTTTATTACAATTAATGACTGCCGACAAAGTAGTTACTTACGTAAGTAAACAGTGCGCGGAAGTGGTAATTCAGAGCATGAGAATGATGGAGCTCGAGTCGTGTTAAAAAGATTTTCAAAACAAAGACGTTTTATGAACAAATTGTACGCAAAATATTTATTTTTTTTGTATTTCGCTTCATATTTTTTGCTTTGAAATAAAATCTACATGAAAAGTACGTTAGCTGCATTTGTTAGAGTAACACGTCGTCGGGCACCAGTTTTTATATGCTCCGATGAGCAATGTTAAAGTAAAGGTTGAAATAAAAAAGTTACATTTTTAATAGTTGTAGAATGTATGATTAAGCTACAATGACTCACTGTCAATATACCACGTGTTTCTTTTATTTCATACAACCCCCGTAATTTTTTTATTTTAAAAATAAACATAGTTCTTTGACCAAATTTGTATAATTTTAAAAGATCACCTATGTGAATAAATGACATTAGTATCAATTTTTCAAGCTACTAGATTGTCATCAATTAATATGAATTTTTCGTGTATTTTATTTAATAACTTTTCAAGCATTGATTTTAGAAATATTGGTTGCTTTTGATATTTAGAAAAAATCAGTCTTTCTATTTATGAAAAAATATACCTATAGTGTTTCATAAAAAAAATCGTCCAAAGAAATTTAGACAGTACTTCCCTCACTGTCGGAAACATGACGACGGCATGCCTATTAAGTTTTTTGTCTCATTACGTTTTTGTAGCGGACCATTTTAAAAAATTTTTGCGATGACGTCATCAACATTTTTGCAAGGACACGTACATCAGTTTAGATAGAGAAATATTTTTAATAATTTTCAGGTGTCGGTCTCGCTGAAAATAAAACTATTTCTGTAAATTATTAAAAATGATGCACAATTGGAAATTTGGCGTTTCCGGGCTAGACTACCGTGTGTGATGTTCGACGTCCCGCATGCTGTTGAATGCGCCAAGGTCATCAAAAAAGGTTATGAGTGCAAAAAAATTATTTACAGTACATGATCAACGGGAATACGTTTCATCGGAAGAATGCCACGTAGACATTTGTTTGATTTGAATGAGTTTATCACCCCAAAACAGATGACTAAAATTATTCATAAGCCTCCATTGAACAAAATATTAATGTTATTATTATAATTCTTATCTTATCATTATTTTATTGTTATAAAGACGAGCGTATTCTCACATTTTCCAGAAAATGGAGTGGCTCGTTCTTAATTTGATCAATAATAAATTGACTGATTCATTAATTTTTTTCAGACACCTCTTTAACCAAATCAAAAAAATATGATTGCAATGATTAAAAGTCTGTTCATATTTGCGAAAGGATTTCTTCAGCAATTTTTTGGGGTTGGTAAACAGATATGTTTTCATTAACAAGTTACCATGCTTACAATAACTTCAAAACGTCGAGATTTCAAAGTATTCAGTTTTGCAATTCTTTATTTAATCAATAAAATAAATTGATTCAGTCATTAATTTTTTTCACTCACCCCTTATAAGCAATTCTAAAAAATATGAATGGAATGATAAATTACAAGTACAGACTCATCATACTTTCTACATTTTAGATAGGATTTATTCGGCAAACTTTTCAGGTGAAGTGATCAATTTTTGTAGGGGACAAGTAAATACATTTTGAATAAAAACTTGTCATGCTTATCATAACTGTAAACAATCTGCAAGATTTCAAAGCATTCGGTTTTGCAGATTCCAAATTAAAAGTCAAAATGTTGTTTCCTAATTTTGATTTTTTTTTTCCAAAAACTCTGAACGTTTCGGGTAAAATCTCAATACGGAGTCATAAACTACAGGTGTAAGACTATGCTATTTGATACAATTTAAAATCCATTTACTATGTACATTTTTAAAGTGACGTCATCACCAGTAGGCGGAAATTTATCTTACGGATGCAATTCCCCAGTTGAAGCAAGGTGTGTTTTACGGCGAGTAGCGGGGACGCTTTGATCTGGTCCACAAGGTCGTAGCCAGTGCGTCGCTGGGAGTGTTTACAGCTTGTTAAAAAACTACTTCTATATTACTATATTACTTAAAAAAATAATACTTGATGCCCTTTTTAATTTTTCAAACACAGAACCACAGATTTGTGATCTTGAAATGTTATATTATGTTGATATAGTCCAAAATAAAAATATATTTGTAATCAAAGTATGGCCGCGACAGCACTGGATCTAGCGTATGAAACAAAATTCCGCCCGTTGGTCATCAGATTAATGGTGGGGATGATTAGACAAATTTTGGTTAGCGTTTTACCATCTACCTGATATACTTAATATAAATACAAAATTTGACAACAATCGGCCCAGTACTTTCGGAGATTATCTGTCAATAAAAATCCGGGACGGCAGACGGACAGACAGACGGAAATGGGAGACCTATTTCTTCGTCCTCTAGGGGTCCTGATAGGTCGAGAAAATGCAAAAGTAGGGAGTCGGCCGACGGGCTCGATTACAATACTTCCTTTGCTTACGCTCGGGAAGTAATACAGGTGACGTCATTTCCGGTTCTACCGGAAGTGATAATAAAAATGTGAGGTCGCCATCACATAAACCTTTTAAAATGATACATTAGCCTAAAGAACTACAGGTTTATCTTTAAGAATAAAAAAGTTACAGGGGTTGCATCAAATAAAAGAAACACTCTCTATATAAATAAATAAATTTTGCAACCTTCTTGGTGTGTCACATTCTGAAAATAATAATTACAAAACGTCAGGGAAGACACAACATTTTTCTTAATAAATAACACTTAAATTTTAATAAAATAATAAACTCCTATACTTGTGATTTATGAATTCGCCTTGATTTTTGGCTATAACTACTTTACAAAAGTGTTTCTGCAATATTTGTCACGTAACGAGTATTTCTCACACGCATAAAACAAGTAGGTCGTAGGCGTTGAATTTGAGCAAGGTGAGCTCTACGCGTGCGGATTTGGATAACATCCTTGTTGACATTGAATTTCTTCGAATGTTTGACTTCAGGTGGGAGGGAAGTTCTGTCTAAATAACTTTAGAACATTTTTTTATTTTTTACTAATACCATGTATACGGTTTCTGTTTATTTCCCGAGTTTAAGCTAAAGAAATGTTTTCTTGACGTTTTATGACCTCTATAGTACGAAAAAATAGGCCTCCTTTTTCCGTCTGTGTGTCGTCTGATATGTAACAACCTATTACAATAATATACCAACATTCGATAGTTAGAACGTTCTGCTAAGGTCGCGGGTTCAGTCACCTTGGATGCCTTTTTTTCTTACACTGTTACTGGTGTTTTCTATATTAGCGTAAGCTACTTTCATGTTTTTTTAACTTTTAGAGTTTGAAAATATAGGTCTCCTGTTTTCGTCTGTCCGTCGTCAGTGTCGATTTTAATTAATCCGATAATCTCCGAAACTACCTCACTGATTGTTGTCAAATTTTATATGTATATTAGGAATATCGTGTAAATGGTAAAAAGCTAACCAATATATGTCTAATCATCCCTCAACAATATGACTTGTAGTTCATGAATACGTCTCTATTTACTTAAAAATAATAATAATAAACAAACTTTTTTGTTTTTTTTGTAGAATTTTTCGCTGTTGTTTTTTGTGATAACAACTTTAATTAAACCTTTTCAAGATACTAAATCAAGATTTACATAAAAATATTTTTCTCAGTTTACACTTCCAACCGAGGATGAAAATGTTCTTTTCAAATGTTGATCGTAATGTGGTGGCAACTGACTAAAAGTGCTACACACTTT